TGAAGCAGGAAATAAGTGCGTAAAGGTGCATGTGAGAAAGGCAGGGACAACACTGACACTAAAGTTAACTCCGCAATAAGGGATATACCTTTAACTTGCTGGTCTGATACTTCTCTAAATCTGAACATTCACATTGAGACAGACTAGGAAGAAGGATTGGCCATCCACTTCTGAAATAGCAGGCCTCTGAAAACCCTAATCTGCCCATTAATCCATCTTATTTTTCATGAAATTGTTCACAGCTTTAGTTTGCTTGGCTCCATGGTCAACACTATTGGCACCAGAAGCCAAGAAATTAAAAGACGTGCTGCAAGGGAAAAGTCTGCTGTTAGGGACTTCTCCAAAGTATTGAAGAGCAATGGTGTCACTCTGGAGACTACGGTGCTCCTGATACAGGCCATGCATGGTCTTTGCAATCACTTGTTATGCATCAGAGAGTTGGACAATGACTAGGGAGGATAGGAGAAGAATTGTTGCCTTTGAGTTGTGGTGCTGGAAAAGAGTATTGAATGTACCATGGAATGTTAAGGTAACAAACAAATAGTTAACAACTGTGCTTCCTACAGTGTGCAATGGCTGATTCTTTTTGGAGGTGCGGTGGGTAGACTGCTGTGCCCCTCTTCTGAGGAACTGGGGGAGACCTTATCCTCTACTTTCTAGTTTGCAGCTGAGCATGTTAACTATTTGTACTATCCAGTCTGGTATGTGAGGTGAGGGCTTAGTTTTATTTTTATAGACAATAATAGTTTATCATACAAGCATTATCAAATAATAGAATTTTTTTACATTTATTATTAATTTCAATGAAAATTTACAGAGACTTTGGATTTCCATTCATTCATTGTTGCATTTTTCTCCCCTCCCAACCCACCCCCCCAGTACACTACACTCTTGGAAAAGTAAAAGAAAAATTCTTTCATTGTTTTACAATCCCTCTCCCCAGGTCCACTCCACTATGCAGCCTTCGCTTTGGACTCCCGTCATGACAAAAATACCTAATCACATATCCCTTTTAAAAATCCCGTTTCTCCCTCATCTGTTTCAATGCAGTATACATTATTGAACCCATCTTTCTCAGTCTCCCACCAACCCCGAGGTCAGTCCTGTTTTACAACAGTGGCACCATGCAGTATTTGTTCTTTTCTGACTGAGATACTTCACTCAGCATAATGTCCTCCAGAATCACCCATTTTGAATAATATTGCATAAGTTCCTTGTTTTTCAATGCAGTGTATTCCATTGTGTGAATATACCACAGCTTCTCTATCCACTCATTTGTTGATGGGCACTTAGGTTGTTTCCAACTCCTTGCTATTGTGAACAAAGCCGCAAAAAACATGGGTGTGCATATATCTGTTTGGATGTCAGTTATGGTCTCTTTGGGATATATTCCCAGTAGTGGAACTGCTGGGACAAATGGTACCTCTATTCGCAACTTTTTGAGAAATGGCCATGCTGCCTTCCAGAGTGGTTGCATCATTCAAATGATAGAATTTTAAAGGTAATTCAACTTAGGGTTACATTAGAAACTTGATTATAATACTAGAAAATAGTGAAAGAAAAAGAAAATACTCATCACTACTTAGTTTCCTTAATAATTTTAGGCAAAATAGAATTCTAGAACTGTTTTTATATGAAAAAGAAATAATTTTCAGATACTTTTTAAAAACTAGAGACTGATGTATATCTGGGATTGTTTGTATTTTAAGGGACTCATCACAAAATAAAACCATTTTAAAAGGCTTTTACATTTTGAAAACTACAAAGGAAGGCCTTTCAGCTTCTTGGGCTAACTATATAATTCTTCTAAAATAATCATCTAATCTTATTGTCTCTGAGTCTGAATCAACGCATAGCTAACCTCCCAGTACGTTTTCTGAGGCTATAAATTGCATGGGAAGAGATTACTCACCTATCATCTAAAAGGTATGTCCTAATTCACAGAATCTGGTTAGTAACAGCCTGAAATTCCACAGCCTTTTCATCTCTCAGATGTGAGATTAATTAAATAATTCAGCTGACGATTATGAATTAGTACTTACACAGTACTTTACTTACCCTAAGCCTATAAAGCAGGGCAAAATAATTACCATCATCATATTTAGAAAGGAAGATGCTGAACCAGTTATGCTGGTTGTCTAAGGTCAAATTAAAATAGTCATTTTTTTCCCCATAATTAAATATCATAAGAGTTCTTGCAGCCTAAATTTCTGTAAGCCACATCACTCAAAAGAAGTACCTATAAGAACTATGGCAAGAATTCAGGGGGAAGAAACAAAAATGAAGTGATACTATTGAAATAATGGTGAAAACCTTCGACTTCAACATCTTCACTTTACAAAGAGTGAAGTCCTAAAAGATGTGGAACTTCCTTATTCAAAGCTGTATCTCAGGGCATTCTCATTACTGTCAAAGCAGAACCAACTCAAAGCTGACCCTCTGCCAGGTTTTCACAGGCTGTACATCGCCTGGGAGGAGAATGGTCATCATTTGCCCTTGTAATAGCTGGTGGATTAGAACCAATTGCCTTTGAGTTGGCGAAGAATTCCTTCCCCAGTAGACTAGTAAAGCAAAAATCACAGTCTAGCACTTCTCTGGCACAAGCTCAAGAATTTTAACTACTAGAGTAAAAAGCCTTAATGTGTTTACTGATAATTATTAATAATTAAGCCACTCAATAAATAATTATCCAGTGTCTACCACATGCCAGATCCTATACTACATGCTAAATCTGATGATTTATTCCATGTTAGGCAGCTTATTAGCTGTATTTTAACATTTAATCCTCACAATACCACTGTAACTTAAGCACAGGCATTAGCTCAATTTTATAGATGAAACTTTAAGAAAATGAAGTAATATTTTCTATGACTTTTAGTAAACAAACTCTTTCAGCAAAAGTAGACAGGATAATAAAATTTAAAGTTTATCTCCAAAATTAATTTTTGTTTTAAATGTTACAGCTCCACATATTATTTCATTTGGAATAAGGCTCTGCAAAAAAGTATGGAAAATACAGACTTTAACAGCAGTGAACAGACATGTGGTACAGAACCTGGTATTAGATTAGAGGTGGGGAGTTCCTTTTGGGGGGTTTTACACATCCTTTAAATATCTCCAGGATAGATATGATTTTATGTAATTTTACTGAAGTCAACTGCTAGGAAAATTATCACTCAAGTAGACAGAGGAAAAGAGTATTACATCTATTATTAATTTTGGCCTCAGGAATATAAAATAAGGTCAAAAGTAGATGAACACAAGAGTTCTCTTAAATATTATTCACAAAATACTACTACAGTACTAGTTACCTACTTTTAGAGTGTGAAATCTCTATGGAATATTATCAAATTAATTAAAAGTTTCATTTACTGTCTTCCCCAGCAGGAATTCGGCTATTTTTTAGAGTAGATTCCAAAAGGCTCACATCAAAGAACTCGACTGTTAATCAAGCAGTGTTTGTATTATGAAGATTTGGAGGTATGCTTTTTAAACTTACTCCACTATACACTGTGTTTTCGATTGAGCTACAATTTTCTAAATATAAATCAAAGACTAAAAAAGATAGCACTCTGGTTAAGTAATCATAGTAGAATTAACCCCATGCAGTACTTCTAATAGAAATGGTTACCTGAGAGCTCTGTGAGAAGTCTTGCTAGGACAGGCTTGTTTACGAGTTCAGTCTTAAGGCTGGGAACAACATCTACTCTAGGAGGCTCTCTGATAACAGTTTTTCTGGAATTTCCAAGATCAGATTTAGTCTTGACACCTGAATGTTCTGGAAGGTCATATGATCTCTGCGGCCAAGATGATACTGGAGCAAATGCTGAGGTTTGCTTGAGTGTTTCTTCAGAAAGAGATTCCTCGCCATCCAGGGCAGAGCCTGAATCTCTGAGTTGTCTTTCACCCAATTCTCTAAGGGCTCTGATTGTGAGCTGTTCCTGTTCTAAATCAAGAGATGCTACTGGTGTACTTTGCATAGGGAAGAAATTCCGAAGTTCATTTTCATTTGTTGCTTTACTTTGTTCAGGGTATTTGCTTTTTAGACTTTTAACATCAGAACTACTTTCTCGTAAGACTTCTAAAGGTAGAGTTGTTCTTAAGTCTGTCTTTTTCTCTGATGATGCTTCAAAGGCATTTCTTCCATCTTTAACCACTATTTCTTTCTCTCTAGGTTCTGAAAAGGTTGCTACCAGGTCTTCTGGGGAGGAATCATCTATATCTTTAACATTCCCCCCACATATTGACTCTAAATAGGTAGGAGTAGTCACATTTGGTGAGCATTCTGTCTCATTATCCCCAGTTATAAAGGGCTTTTCAGGAGCAACTTCACTCACACTATTAGAATGCTTCCCATCCTCTGATATGATACTAGCATCAGATACTTGCAATTGAATCACCTTATCAACTGGACTCCTTCCAAGAATATCCAGCTGAACTTGCTGTGGCTCTGAGTTGCTGATGGTCCCGCCAAAGTTTTTAGAGGTTTTGTTTTCTCTATGATAACTGGCAATCTCTTTGATGTTGCTCTCATCTGCTTTTACAATACCACTCGGGATGGAAACTGATTTTTCAGCTTGCATTTTGTTATTTTCAAATGACATATCCGAGGTGATGTCCTCTATTACTGTGTCCTCAGACTCCCCAGAGCTATCAGCTTCTGCCGTCTCTCCCAACATAGTGCTCTGCCAGTTCATTTCATCTCTCGGGCCAGCACTGGGCAAAGCCTCTTTTACTGTCTTTACTGCAGAACCCAGGGATATACCTTTCTCTAACGGAGACTCAGGTGACTCTGAAAGCGTGTCATCTTGTTTCTGCACGCTACTTCTCATGCCTTTGGTGCCGACTTCCTTTGAAGACTCGAGATACTCTGGCATGGTTTTTTCTTGTGGAAGTAATGTTTTTGCCCAATCACTTGTTGGTTTAGTGATAGAATTGTTGCCATTCACAGAACGTACTGGGATTTTCTGACAAGTGTTAGTTTTAAGATTTACAACTGGGATTTCGGAATTACATTCACCCACGTCAAGTCCTGTAGGCTTTGGGATGTAGTCAGTTTTCTCACACTGCTGTTTCACTTGAGGAACCAAATCCCAAGTCAGTATTTCGTTCGTAAAGTTATGCATATCATTCACACACCTCGATACCTCTTCCAGGGCTGCAGTTGTGTGTGAAAACTGTCTAGGCAGCAGAGCAGAGGCAGAGTAACGACCTGTCTCTCGACTTGGCAGTGGGAAGACTTTGTCGTCAGTCTCAGTGAGATCTGCAGACAATTCTCCAGGAGTGTGTGCAGTCCAGCTGCCAAAATTGTTGGCGATTTCCTTATACGAGTCCTTAAACTCCTTGTCAAATGCAGCCTTGTCAATAATGACTTCAAATGGTGATTCGGGGGAATCTTTTTCAACTGTATCACCTCGTGACGCTCTGGATGGGGATAAGGTATATGTATGAACACCAGCTGCCTTAGCCTGATCAGTGGGTGGCTTCTGGGCTGTTAGCAAAGTGAACTTGTCCTCAGTATCTATGGGAGTCTTGTCACCCCTACTAGAAAACTCATTTGGGTTCTTGGTCTTGTGATCTTTTTGGATTTCCATCTGATCAATCTTCTTTGATAGAAAAGCCGGATGTTCTGGGAAACTGGCTGGAACGGAAGGACGGTTACCACAAACTTCTGCTTCAACAGGAATTGGAGAGCCGGCCATGTCTTTACTTCTCTCGTGAGGCCTTTCCATCTCTTTCCCATCTAAAAGAGTCAAGCAGTCTTTTCCTTCTTTGGCCAAAACAGGCTGGCTGCCTACGACTTTGCTGTTTTCTCCATGGAGTGTCAGAAGGTCAGTGTTATTTATTTCTGAAGTTGAAATAAAGGAAGAAGCCATAATTTCTGAAGGTGCCTCATCAGAGCAAAGAGAGCTCAATGCCTCTAAGGTCAAAATTTGAAGGGAAAAATAAAGTTTACCAAGTACCATTACACATTAGCAGGGAAGGCCAAGCAGCATGCTTTTTATTTTTAAAAATTATATATAGAATTATATATATACACACATGCAAGATGTGCATATATACACACACACACACACACACACACACACACACACAAGGTATAATAAAACAATGATCATCAATAGCTACCCTATTAGACATGCACAGAATTGCCAACAAGGATACAGAAAAGCCATATCGTGCTACAAACTGCAAATGACAAAGTTTTCAAAAGTACTTCTCATTTGATACACATTTTCACTAAAAAGGTAAAGGATAAAGATAAAGAAGACTAAAGACACTAGTATATGCCAGGAGAAAGTTTTGCTTTTGCAGAAGCAACATAATCCATGCAGAGCGAACAACTTGATACTATGAAGCACCAATACACCTTCATCTGCATGTTCAACAAGAAAGAACACAATGCCTCCCAAATCCATTGGGGAAGGGTAACATAATCGGAGAGAGAAAAAATCCCCCCAAACACAACTTCTGTTTTTATCTCTAGAAGGTAGAAGACTCTTCTTCAGGCTAAAAATCAGACCAGAAGGATTCCACTCTATCTATAGGAACGATCTGAAGCATCTAAACAGATGGCTTCAGTGTATAACAGGTGCTAGAAAAATGGCCTGCTCTAAAATTTCTTACACAATTTCTGTTGCAAAATGAACTGAAATGTGCAAATTGTTTTTAAGAGTTAATGTCAATTAGAGTCGATTAGACACTGTAATAAATTAACCATATCAATTAATGATTAAAAAAAGATAATAAAATCTTTTAAAAACATACCCTTCTTAAGGGAGCTCTCGCGGCCTAGTGGCAAGAAGCTGCACTGCAACCCCAGAGGTGTGTAGTTCAAAGCCACCAGAAGCTCTGCTGGAGAAGGAGGGGCAATCTCCTCCTGTGCCAGTCAGATCCTATTTGATGGTACACACACACACACACTCTCTAAAATAAAACCCTTCTAAAGTAATACATTAATTCAGCCACGTAGTTGTTATGTACTATGGAATGGAGTGCAACTCCTAACAACTCTATGAACAATAGCTCTGAATTGTGTCCCATCCTCTGCCCATTGTGAGAGTCAATGTGTCAATCCATCTTGCTGAGAGTCTTCAACCCTACGCCTTTCCCAGCCATGGTGTCCCTCTCCATGGTCGAGCTCCTCCTTACCCCATGGCCAAATTATGTGAGGCAGAGTTTCACCATCCCTGACTCCAAGGAGCACCCTGTCTGTTAATGTTAGGTGCTGTCCAGTCTACTACAGTTCAGTTACCTATCCTGCACCATCCTCACACTCTCTTCCTGGCTTGAACCCACTTTTACGATCACTGTGTCAATCCTCTCTTTCTCTGACCCTCCACCTCTCCCAGCAAGGCTCCTGACAACATGTCCAAAGTTTGTTATTAATACCACTGACTACACTGTTTTCCAAACTACCAAGGTATAACTTGGGGGGAAAAGAAACTCAAATAAAGGTAGATACTCTTGTGGATACTCTCTCTCTTCCTTTTATATTGTATCTCTAAGTTTAAAACAAAGTCAAGGGAGTCCTCAGAAGGCTCAATGTCGACCTGAATGAGTAATGGTGAAGACTAGCAAGCGAAAGCCTTTCAGATCAACTTTTTTCACCACGCACCTTTGGGACTGCAGTGCAGCTTCTTGCCACTAGGCCACCAAAGCTCCCTTATTTTCTATTTTTTCTGTGAGAAGCTAAATAATTTATGAGATAAAGGCAAAACTAGAATTTTATTCAAACGTAAAGAAGTAAGAATTATTGTAATAAAAATATCCATTATTACAAATATATTTCTAAGTACTAGATGAAGTTCCCCTATTTTAACACATTACTGAATTTGATGGAATAGGTTCTGACCTTTAATAGTCTTTGACTATTAACTGTTTTGAGGAAAAGCCATTAGAAGTTTGGTGATATAAACTGTACTCCTAGGATAGAAAAATATATGAAGTCCATTGTAACTCATTTAGTTCTAGCAAAGTATGTTTCACATACATGCCTGACAGAATTAAAATCCGAAGATTAATGTTTTATATACACATTGAGTTAAGCGGTATCCTGGTGGTATAATGGTGCATAATGTATAAGATCCTTAGGAGAAAGGCAGGGAGTCTCCTTTAACCTGAGAGAGGGCACAATGAATCAGAATTGACTTCAACAGCAGTAAGCTGGGTTTTTTCTGTTTTTCCCCCCCTTATTGTGTGCTGTCTAGTCGGATCCTACTGGCACAGGAGGAGACTGCCTATCCTTCTCCAGCGGAGCATCTGGTGGATTCGAACCATGCACCTTCGGGACTGCGGTACAGCTTCTTGCCACTAGGCCACCAGAGCTCCCTTGTAGTGAGTTTCTGAGGTGTGTATATGTATACACACACACACACACACACACACCTGGAAAATATCCCATAATAAGAATTATGTATTACTACTTAATTTCTACTGGTTACCCTTTGCATCAGGAAATACTAAATGGGCCTTATTTCTGAACCTCTTCAGAACTCTGAAGAAGAATAAACCCCTTGCCTTCTGTAGCTTTATTACTAGATGCTGCTGATTTAGCTCTAACTCAGAGATCCCATAGGGGATCTTGTGTAGACAAGAGAAACTCTGCTTACAACAGTGGGGAATGCAGACGATAAAGTCACTAAATAAATGATTATGATGGAATAGAAATCTAAATTTGAAACTTTAAGACTTCACCCAGCAATACTGGGGGGGGAGGGTGGGGAGAAAAAGCATGGTAAAATGTTCTATTTTCTACTGGAATATAAACTTTAGCATATATTCAGCTTCCCAAACTTCTTTTGTATCTTTCATAATACTCCCCAGTCAGGTATATAATAAGTAATCTGAAGTAAAACTAGAACATTGGGTTAGAAGTCCTATTCGCAGAGTACCAACAACTCCTATACTCAGTTCTTCGAATGCCTGAGAGACTGCAAATATTTTATTAAAAATTCCTTACTATGACACACGTCATATATACCAAAACAGCTTTAGGTATAGTCTCCAATTCCAGTTTTATAACTTAATATTTTTGATAGATAATGTCTCCTGTCAGCTTCGAGGAGAACTAGTGGTTCACTGTGAGGACGTGGACTGCCAACCCAACGGCAGATGGCTTGAGTCCAGCAGCTCTGCAGTAGAAAGATGGGCAGTCTCCTTCCGTGTGATTTACAGCCTTTGAGAACACGCTCGAGGGTCACAAGCATAACAATGTCTCCTGGGAGGCAAGGCCGGGCAGTAAACAGTGTCTGGTTCCCCCATGATTGTGAGAAGCAAGTGGGGGCTACTCTCACAACTGTCAAACTTTCCTAATTCTATTTCTGTACAAATTCTATCTGGAGCAGAGTAAGGTAGCACCCTCATCCATACTTTCAATTCTCTAGTTTAGAAAATTTCCACAAGTGAAAGGCATTTCTTCGGCTGACTGAAATCCTAGCAAACTTAGGTAGAGTCAACTAATACTAGGACAATGGGTAAATCTGGATGGTGTTTTTAAATGCATAAAAATATTCACTATAACTAAGTCTAAAATCTAGCAAGTCTGTTAACACAGATCCTGTAAATAAACACTCTTCCAATTAGTCTTGCAAAAATGCATGAGAGCTCTAGGGAGTTTGAAAGTTGTTGATTTTAAAAATATTATACTGTTAACGCGCCTGCTAGAATAACTTTTATTTTAAATGTCAGGAAATCTGCTCTTTTTCAAAATAGCTACAGTGCAGTCCAAGAAACTTTCAGTATCGCTCAAAACAAATCTCTACCAAAAAATCTCACAGTATTTTCCAAATTAGTTATTTGCGATAATGGTATTTAATATGCATATTAATTTTACAGCATTCTAGTTCCTTTAAAATATGGTGCTACCCTAATTACTAGTGGTAGCCTAGTGGTAAAGAGTTGTGCTGGTAACCCCAAGTCATGCAGTGAGAAGTCACAGTTCCTTTACAGCAGAAAGATGGGCCATTTCCTCCTCTGTGACTGATTAATGCCTCTGAAAATCTGCTGGAAGTTCAGCTATGAGTCACTTCTGACTCAAAAGTATCCAACAACAACAACAACAACTACACTCTTAATTACTATCAAACAAGGGTTTATACCTTTAAAACCTAATTTCATTTTGTTGAGTTGATTCTAATTCATAACAAATCTACAGGACAGAGTAGAATTGCCCTAGAAGGTTTCCAAGGCTCTAAGTAATTTTTATTACTATTATTATTCTATTATCTCTCTTAAGACTATTTTATTATAGAGCAGACTGGCCTCTAGTGGGTCAGGAAGTGTGAGGATGACACAGGATAGGATGGGCTTCAGATTCACTGTTCATATGGTCGCTCTGAGTTCTACTGGACCCGATGGCACCTAACAACAATGTCACTTCAACAATGGTATTTTCAACCATGTTATACGTATGTGAAAATTGGACGAGAAGAATGAATGCCCTGGAATCTTTGTACTGTTGGTGAAGAATAATTGGAACTGGCCAAAAGAACAGACGGAGCGGTCTCAGAAGAAGAGCACCCAGAGTGCTCCTTGGAGGCGAGGATGGAGACACTTGTCTCACATACTTTGTGAATGTTGTGAGGAAGGGCCAGTACTTGCAAAAAGACATCATGCTTAGAAAAGGGGAGTGTGGAGTGAAAAGTAAAAGGAACCAAGACCCTCAATGAGATAGAGCGACAATGACTGCAACTACAGGCTTCAGCACAGCACACTGTGGGGAGGGCACAGGACTGCGCAGGGGTTTACACTCTTGTCTCTGTGGTCTCTGTGGATGAGAACCAACTCGACAGCACCTCACAAGAACCATTTAAAGAATTTTTCAAAGTTTTGGGTGATAGAATTTGTAAATCAGTTAGTACAAGCCAAATGTCTACTGCAGACATGTCTTATTTTACTGTGCTTTGCAGATACTGCAAA